CCTTGCTTAGTGGTTAGCAGGCCCACCTTGCACCAGGGAGGTTGTGGGTTAAACCCCCGTGGCCGGCTGCTCACTCAGCAGTTGAAAATTAGTACATTCTGCCCACTCGCGGCATTGAGGTAGGGAGAATGGCGTCCTTCGAAGAGGACGTAAAGTCGTCGGTCCCGTTGATTGTTCCTGTCCTCATTGCATGTAAAAGAACAAGTTTTCTTTATCGAAAAGAGAAGCAGATCTGCTGGATGTCTGTCCTTTCTCTAATGTATGTATGTGTTGTACACAGGGCCCTATGGGAGATTAGTGTCATTTCACAGATTAGGCTACCCTGTATAAATATGGTTTAATAATAATATTAATGTTGGGGGACAGGTAACAAAAACAAAAGGGAAATAAGTGGGTATATAAAATGTTGGGTGTTGTTTGGTGGTGGGCATCTAGAAAAACATCAGCCGCCAAAGTGGACATTATTCTAGTACGGAAATGGTTCAGAAAGTTTCATTGACTCTCTGTGTACCAGTATTCACATTCCTCTCTATCTTTTCCGTGAACAAAATGTATTTTTTGGCACATTTAAATGCTCTTCACTTGAAATTACAACTTAACATAATGCACCAGTCAATTGTAACTCGTGACTTTGCAAGCACTGTTACCAAAGCAACCACACTATCCCTTCACTCATTCTGTCCCCGGACTCAAGTGTAAAAGACAAGAATACTGCCTCGGTACAAGAGATGGTTTTGAAAACCTACTACCGGATTCTGCCGTAAATTTGCCCATCCGAAAAATCACAGCTGGTGGGCCCTTATTTGGGGTTCATATTTTAAAAAAATTATTATAAAATATTTTTAGGGGGCTTATATTTTCATTGAAAAATCCACCTGAGCCAATTTTCAACGCCGGCAGTTGGACCACCCAAAACAAAAGAAACTATTACAGAAGCTATGCTAAAATTTTATACATTTTTTTCTTGCTCCAAAAAAATCACATTAATGAACCTCGTGCGCCAGATACAATTATATTGTTTCATTTTATTAGTAAAAGACGTTTCAAATAAAAACAAACTTACAAAAAAACAAAAATTTGCTTAGTAGCAAATAATCACGGTTTCGCAATCCAGTCATGCTGCGTTTTACAATTGTTGATTATTACCTAGTAATGATTATAATAACGTGCAAAAAATAAATTTGTTGAATTGTTATGAAATGCAAATAAATTTCAACTTGTTTCATTGTAAGCGAATGATTTCGATCGCATTTTCAGCACGCGATGCTGTAGAAATAAATATCCGCCATGTTTGACCTGAGACTGTGTTCTTTGACCTGACCGGTCAAATCAATAATTAACCAATGAAAACGATGGATGATGCCAACGTGTTCAAAATAATATAGCTCATTTAAATATGTTAATGTTATTGAACGCAGCACAGAAAAGATTTGCCGATGTTGTTGTACGATCTTTTCGCTTGGATTTTGATGGAAAAGCGGCATGATTTGCTTTTAAATAAAAAAAATTTGTTGTTTTCATTTGAGCATTTGAAGAATAATTTACCATTGTTTACAGCGATAACAGCTCATTGTCGAAACGAAGCTAACCCATTCATACTAGTCGCAATAAACATCAATACTCTTGAATAGGCGTCAATGACTACAGCGAAACTTTTCGGCATCGGAAAAGATTAAAATAACACCTTGAAAAAAACTGCCGAAAAATCGCCCTGGGTGGTTTCTTGGTCCCAATTTTTTTTTTTAAACCCAAACTGCCGTTTAACGGCCCTGGGCGAATTTACGGCAGAATCCGGTATTATACTAATTAATGCTCTTTCATTAAGTTCCAGATACTCATGCGTACAACCGAAAACTACCTATTTTGAACTTCCAGGTTGGGGCTAAATTTTATGCCAAATATTTTAGTATAGCCATGAGTGATGAAATTTACACAGTCAATAGTATGGATC